ACCCGACTGCCTCTCACAAGGCCTCATACGATGGATCCCTCCACACACTCCTTATGACTAAGTATCGATCAGGGCTTCTTAGCTAAATTTAAAAAGCACCCCCCACCCCCTTCCCGTCTGAAACGCACAGACTAACACTAATACTGACATCTGCTTGTCTCCATTGTAAAAACCTGTGGTTCACTCATAAATCCAGAGCCCAGAACCAATATAGTTTCTAAGAGGTCAAAGGTCATGAATGGTAATAACGCCGCCATTAACAGATCTGCTTAGGTTAATATTGAGACCCTAGATAGACTGAAAAGTGGTGGAAAATGCCATATTTAATCTTTTTCAGGTTTTCACATAAAACTAGTCTGATCATTTTACCCTAAAGTCTCAAGGAGCAAATGTTATTTGCTGGATTTATTTATTCCTACTTTAAATACAAATACTTTGTTCAATTGGTTCTATTTGAAGAATGAAAACCAATAAAAGAGCAGTATACAGTTTACCTGCGAGGGTTTGACAAACAACATTTATGGAGATGAGCCGTGAGTAATCGATCTCTCTTTTTTTCCTACTAATCAATCATCAAACCAATCAGGGATCAAGTCACCCTATCAGTCAAAGATAAGTGGGCCTTCCGCAAACACAGAAGCCACTTCAAGATTATGGTGGTTCACCAGTGTTAAGAATATACAGATGTAAAACTATTAGACGCAGCAGGCAGTGGAGCATTAGATAATGCTCACCCCTATAAGCAACTTGAGTCATCTCTTTGTCAGCTACTGCCCTTGCCCTTTTCATCCTTCCGTCCCCCAATCCCCACCCCTTCTCACGGATCAGCTGTGATCTCCTCTCTTTCTCTTTTCTCTCAAATCGGGATTAGTGAGTAGGAGGGGTGCAGGAGGGCATACGGGGGGTGGGTGCAGCCGCACCAGCAGTAGTAGCAAGGAGAGAAAAGGGGGAAGAGAAAACTGAAACAATATGGAAAGGAGATTAGAAAAGTGGGGGTTTGGGGCCGTTTGGGGAATTGCAAACTCCCTTGTGCTTGGGTAGGTGTCCTAATGACACCGCCTAATTATGGCAAAATTAGACAGGCTAAAGGGAATAGGGTAGGGGGCAAAAGGGATGGAAAAGGGAAAGAGGAGCATGGGAATTAAAAAAGAGGGAGTCAAAATAGGAATATGGAGGAAATAAAAAGAGGAAAAGGGGGTGCACAAGCTTGGGTGGGAGGAGAGGCTTAAAGGAGGAAGGCAAGTGAGAGAATAAAGAGCAAAAAAGGAGAAAAGGGGTGGAAAGCAGCGGCTGGGCAACGGGGGTGAGTGGGCCCCAGCACGCTGCATGTTAATTGGAGAACAGGTGTTGGGGCTGGGAGCATGAGGCTGATTACTGCAGCCACAGAAACAGGCCGTCTCCTACACACACACACACACACACACACACACGCATTACTTGCACGGATGCAGACAAACACACACACATCCCTACACACATGAATAATTTAAGTTCCAAGCAGTGACTGGGGAGAAAGGTCACAGTAAGGGTCACGCAGACACACAGACAATCGTTCATACATCCATATACATAAATAAAGGGTCGCAACAGAAACACAAAAAAACATACATCTTTCTTAAGTGAACGCCAGCAGAAAAGCCTTTCTGAGGATAGGTACACAAGCTGTGCTCAACCAATCACCTCTTAAAATGGAAAAAGCCATGTGGGTCAAGCAAAATCTCTTTGGCTTATCAAAAAATAACTGGCTGCTAATTGGTTGATCCCTGAGGAAAAGATGCTGCAGGTCATTTATGTTGGAGAAGCTCCCATCAAGATAAGACTGGTCCAGTCTGATTAGATCATACCCCAGGTCAGTGATCTGAACCCACAAAAGCTGAACATGAGTCTATACTTTTATAGAAAGTGAAAAACTTTGGTTTGTCCTTTTGTACCTGCTAAAGAGCTACTTACAGGCCAATTTCAAAGACTTTTAACCATGTTAGGAGGAAGTATGAAATAAAAAAGGGGCCAAAAAGAGGTCATTTTTGAGCTGTATACCACTGGAAATGGGAAAAGCAGCTGCTCTTCTGTATTCTGGGAAATCTCAAAGAAACAAGAGCGCAATTTTTTTTTTCTTTTCCCGTTATATCAAAACTATCTTCAGCCAAGATCCTCAGAGACACACTGTCAACAGCCAGCCAGCTTGAACTGAGGAGGGGAAAAATAAAAAGGGTCCTTGACGTATATGAAGTGTGTGTTTCCTTGACAGACAATCGAGGGGAAGAAGAATGAGAGGGGCAGAAAGGTGGGAGTGAGAAAGAGAGAGGAAGGGAGATGATGAGGGTGGTGTCTCTGACATCACAAAGAAACTATTTCACATGTACGGTTTGCTGGTGAGCATTCATCACTGTGGTTAATGCCAAGCAGACAGGACAAGGCCTCCGGGAAGCCCAGGACGTGAAGTCTCAACAGCACGCTGATTATAAGTAGTGGTCATCTGGTGCTAAGGCTGATAACTGACTGTGAAGGTGAGCATTTATTACAAGAGTGGATTTGGAGGAATAAAGCCAATACATGCTTCTGATGGAAGGTAACCGCTAGAGGAATACAGACATTTAAAAAGAACCATCAGCATGTGCAGAAAAATATTTGGTAGAGCTTATTAAATTATATCATTATCAGTAATTAAATTCTAAATGTAACTCACTTTCTAATTAAATTATAAAATCACTTTAAAATAATAGACATATGATCATTCAGAAATATCATTTGCTCAGGTTAAGGCCTGCTGTTCAAATGGGGCTTTTTCCTTGCATTTTAATGAAAGGTTAAATGGAAGAAAGAAATTAGGTTTAAAAAAAAGCAGCACAGGTTAACTCAGACCTTCAAACCTATTGAGATTCACTTATAAAAACAGTTAAACAAGTTAAACATGGATAGGTTTCAACATCCCCTAATTTCTATATATTGAAATTAGTTAGAGAAATGCTGCCTTAGAATCTTTTAAAAATGGGATTGAGTATTCCCCAGGAGTTCTTAGGTCCTTTCAAAGTTTGTAATTAGACTTAAGCAAGTTTTTTTTAACTATTCCTTTTTAGTTTTATGTTCCCTGACAGTGACAGCACCCTGCAGTATGTGTTTAGGCTTTGTGAGAAAGACAAAAATATACTAAGGCCCATTAAGAAAAAAAAAAAAACAGCAGATCAACAGCTTGTGGAGGTAATTAAGGAACTGAAAAACATCAAGCAAGCATCTGACTCTGGACCTGAGAGATGTATCATCCTTCAGATGCACGTTCAGACAGTACAGAGGGAAGGATATTGTACATAACAAACCTGACACTTGATGCTTTTCAAACTGATAGAAAACTTCCTCCTTCTTTTAAAAAGAGGAGGTATTTCCTGTATAAGTTCATCACGTTTGGAGGATCAAGGCTCACAGAACTGATTCAGACCTCATCAATCTTATTATATTTCCTAAAGTTTATTTATTCTGTTTGTATTCTTTTTTCTGCTTGAACTCTTTTAAAATCTGCTATATGTTCTATGATAAAATGCATGGATGGCTGTGTATTGTCTTCTATGTAGGGTCTTTATATGAGCAGCTAATGCACCAATTTTTATCTCTTTTTTTATTAATGGTTTTTTATTTCAACCTATATTACCATTTATGTTTTTGACAAATTTCAGAAGAGATTATAATAAATTTTGTCTATTTATTAATCTGATGGTAATAAAGAGTCTAAAATTCCATTTAAGTCAAATACATTTCAATATAATGCTTGTAGACACATTTCAGGTTGCTCCTTTTTTTGTACCTAAATGATTCTTATATTTGGGATAACTAATTTAATAGTACAGAATTGAAAATATTTAAAAAGCTTATATATTCTTATAATCAAAATGCTGTATATATCTGTCTGCTCTCATAACCAAACTCAAACTTTAGAGCACTTTTAGCCATTCATTTCTGCAGTGGATTATACCAGACCATGAAACGGACCCAGGAATTTAACCTGGAAAGGTTACAACTGACAGTCTTGTAATGGTTTATCAGGACCCTGCAGTGGTTTGTGTGCAGTAGGAATGCATGCTCATCCCAGCACATACAAAAAAGCAGGAAGAGAGTATGTGATGTACATGATATATCAATTTCAATGTGAGAACAAGAAAGGGAAAAACGAAATAAAGCACCTGAATCCCAAGAAGAAGTGAAATAGTGCATATGTGTAGGTGCACAACTACATGTGAAAACTAAAACAGCAACATAAAGTCCAAGAAAGAGACCTTCTTCTTTGTGTTTTTTGTTTGTTTGTTTTTTCTTGATCACCACAGTATTGAATAAATAGTGGCCCTAAAAACAATCTCTTTGCTCTTTGGTCCAGTCTTAAACTCTGTCTTAAACAGTGGCATCAAATTCCCCTGAAACCAGGGGGATGCAGGTTTGAACCACCTCTGGCTTTCTCTGTCCCTGTCTACTTGGGTAAGACACTTGCTTAGTGATGGTGGTCTGAGGCCCAGTGGTGCATGTTTACAGCAGCCTCCATCAGTGTAGCTTGCCACCATCAGAGTGTGAATGTTGTTGTGAATGGGTGAAAGACTGAATATAGTGTAAAGCCCAAGTAGAGGCCATTCAACCAGTGTGAATGCGTCCTTAAAAGCCAGCTCGTTCTAAATGTATCCCCCGTTTGAATGTTGTAAACAAACCATCTTTTATCCAATGGACATTGTCAGTACAATTTATGTTTCAGTTGTTATGTTATCAGCTATTTTTTATGATTTTTCATTCATTAAAAAAACAATGTTCAAATGAATTTAATCACATATCAACCTCTGAAAACTTTATATTACACCTTAAGTTTTCAGGAGAATATTAAAGTGCTCCATGTCTCCATCATCAATCACAGAGTTCATGTTTACTTCTGTGTATACAAGCAGAAAAGTTGAACGGAATATTAAATGTGTAAAGGTGGAGGTGGTGAGGTTTTGGACACTGTAAGCGACGTGCTTTTATGTTATTACCTGTCAATGATGACTGGATCAGAGGGCGTCTCATTACGATTGCCACAACTCTTCTTCTCGCAGCAGCGGCTGGTTTGGTGGGTAAAGAAGAAGACAAAAAGTCAACAGAAATTAAACCAAGCTGCCTATTATTTTTCTGGCCCATAAGCATCCACAGCCCCAGACAACTCTGCCCCACGGTCAGCCAAAATCCAGAAACACACAAAAGAGGCATGAGAGGGGAGGGGAAGAATAGACAAAAGAAGAAAAGAGGAAGAAAAGGTACAACAACACACCCTACAAACAGTGAGAGACCATTCAAAAGTGAAAAGCCAGCCAGGCAATCTGTCACATTGATTCTGAAATCAAACTCAACCCCCATGCAGCTCCACTGCTCGCACACACACACACACACCCTGTCCCACAGCATCCTACCATTCGTCAGCGGTTCTGTCCGAGGAGCCTGCTGGCCAGCCACCCACACCCCCCCATACACCTCCCAGTCCCCTTCACTGCATAACAAAAGTGCCCCCACCCCTAACCATCTGCCACCCCTACACCTCGCCTCAGCCCTCCCGTGTCCCAGCTTGGCCCTGCCCTTCCCCCCTCCGCCCCCCTGTCAGACGGCCTCACTCCCCAGCTGTGACGCTTGCCCTCTGCCTCCTCGGCTCTGTTATTAGCCAGCTGTGAGTCACATTCGGGCATCTGCTGGCCAAACAATGGCAGAGCCCAGTCCGTCTCAATTCCTCTCGTGTCCCAGGACTGCATCCTTTACCCCTCTGAATCCCCGGGTCACTGCCCCACTTCCAGACTACACTCTTCATCCATAACTCTGTTTTCACTTGTCATCTTTCTTCACTTCATAACAATAAAATCTCATTGGTTCTTATTCAAATCTATCAGCTCTTTAACACTTGGTGGCATAAACTTGTCTTCCCATGTTTACACAGGCCATTCTGGCTAAGATATAACAGCAGGAGTTGTTCAATGAGTAAAGAGAAGAAAATGTTCCCCTTTAAATGCTTGGTACTGAGTTCTGCCTGCAAAGTTTTAGAACAGAAAGAGAAGAGGCCCAAGAAAAAAACAGGAGCTGGACAGTGACCTGCTGCGATTAAGCAGGAAGCAGCAAGGCATTTGCACTGAAACAAGGATGATGACAGGCCAGGTAGACTTACAGGTCAACAGCAGAGCTGTTTAAAAAAAAACAGTCCCAAAAAAACACATTTCATTCATGCTGAGGAAACCAGAGTGAAACAGACTAAGGGGTATTTGGATTCAGTCTCTTTAGGACACAATTTCAATCAGCGTGTCACTCACCTGCACATAACCTCATGTGTGAGCAGTACTCTGCACATTTCTGGGTTCTTGTTCTGTCCTTCATATGAAATGGGCTGTTAGGAGGAAATAAAGATCAGCAGAAATGATTCAGTTTCATGTAAAATAACTGGATATATATCTATATTTTTAGAATTAGTTATAATTTTATCTGGAGGGCTTAAGGAAAGTCTGCCAACCTGTTTAGTGACGGAGTCAATAAGTCGTGCATAAAGATCTTGCTCTGTGCGAACCCCTGCAAGTATTAAGAAGACAGGATATGGATCTCATCAATAACTTTGGAACATTTTTCTTTCTGAGCGTGAGAAAAAAATAAGAATAATTACATATATGGATCATTTTCATTTAATAAATCAAGACCAAAAGACTTTGGATTCATTTTTGAAAAATCACAGAAATGACAAAGTATTTCAAAGACAGTCCTGATATACTCAAGAATGCTTTCAACACCCACCAGATACTAAAAATAAAGTAACCAGATTTATGGGACACATTATTCTTTACAACCTCCTGACAATCTCTCACAAAAAAATTTATTGAACTCAGTCCAAACAACAGAGAAGGACAAGCTTGGTGTGCAATCATATCTTTTTTTTCTGCAATGGTTTCTGAGGGAATTGAGTCATTTGATGTTTGATAAACATTTCTCATGTCCTACTTTAGGGCCATAATTTACAGGATTCTCACGGATTTGTCAGGATGTGATCTTTGTGGTTGTTTATGTGTTAGTTTTGGGTTTTGCTCGAGGTTTACATGATTGACAAAAAACCAAAACAGAGCCTTGCATAAAGTATATATACTCCCTGAGCCTTTTTCACATTTTGTCACATTAAAACCACAAATTGTAAACTGTTGTAGAGGGATTTTATGGATTTACCAGCACAAGAAATGGAAAGTTGTGGAGTAGGAAAAAAATGATACACAGATTAAAAGCTTTTTCTTTTAGGTTTTTTGAAAAATGGCATACATTTATGGTAATACCATTTTATTGTAATAACCCTAAATAAACTACAGTGAAACCACTTTCAGTTCAAGTGTTTTTGTGTTTTGTATGTCTCTGACAGCTTTGTGTATGTTGAGCCTGATCTTTTGGCCTATTCTTTGCATTCAGAATGGATTTAGGTATGAACACACTAACAGAAACCCTTGCATTGCTACTCTGGATGGATGTTTAGCAGTTTCCTTCTGCAATGCCATTTATTCATCTTTATATTATATTTACCTTAACCTCTAAAAGTGTTTTATCTCCCCACCGGAAAGTGCTGGCAGTGTTGTTTTTTTTTTTTTACAGCGTTTTGTATGTAGAAGGTAAAGTGTATTTTGGTTTCATCTAACCAGAGAACCCTCTTCTGCATGTTTGCTGGATCCCCTTGGATGTCTTAAAGTAGACTGTATTTTTATTGCTTTCTCCAAACAATAGACTTTTTTCTTGCAGCTCTTCCATAAAGACCTGTCTGTGCTTGGTCATCAAGATGATGTTAGTCCACTAATGTTTTTTAAGATCTTTACACAACAACTGAATATTTTACACACCAAAGACAGGTGACCTCGTTAAATGACTGAATTTGCACTGGGCTAAGTTAAATACAGTACAGCACAGTAGAACTGGAGTGTATGCCATCGTTTTATTTTTGTTTGCCAATCTGTGCTTGTCGGAACCTGATTAAAAATCCCTTGAAACCGTTGTGCGTAAACTGACAAACTATGAAAAATTCATCGACCTGCAAGGTTATCTTATTTAGAAACTTTGGAGTCTTTCTTTGAGATTTCAAACCTCTGCAAAGCACCGAACGGAAGGAGAGAGCATTTAATGAAATGCTGCTTGAGAGGAGACAGTCTTGTTCGTGGTTTTCTCTACAGAGACTTTTGAGAGTATTGCTTTTAAAATGTGTTCCTCTCATCAAAGTCTCGATTGAGTCGCCTTTGATATAGCTTTGGGGGAGAAGGGGGAGGAGGGCATGTAGAGGAAGTGCTCTTGGCTTGCTTGCGTGTACATGTGGTGTGTTCGTCTCTGCATGAAGGGGGCTTCTCCAGAACTCGCCTTTTATCTTCTCTCCCATGGGTGCCACTGGGATGGCAGAGCAGGGGCAGCAGTGGCTCATGGGAACCACATTTTTTTGTGCATCCCCTGATCTGATGTGAAGAAACTACTGGGGCAGAGGGTGGGGGATTGGATGGCTTGGCAACATTTAGCTCATTTTCCTCTACTTGAGCCCAGAGGTGGCTGCTTGGAGAGCTTTAATATCTCAGAAAAGACAGATCAGACAATGAGCTTCAGGGTAAGGATGTGGAAAAGGAGGTATATGTCCCGCTAAACTCTTACAACTCCTGATAGTGAGTTCAATTATGGCAAAATGAAATCAAAATATAGATAGATTTTTGTGCCAACTTACCATTACTGTAGAGAAGCTGTAGCTTATAATGAGTGCCATTATTTGTCTTTTCTCCAGTCTGCTCCTTGGAAAGAGGGGAAACAAAGAAAGGGAAGCACAATGCATGCCGTTGAGTACACTTGGGTATAGATATCTGGACATGGACATCAGATGTAAACAAAGTCCATTGGAATGCTTTGCCGTGTTCATTTCATTGGATTCGAAACAGTAAAGCCCAAAGCTCCTCGTCCATATAAGCTGAGCCCCTAACTTTCAGTTTGAGGCTTACTGTAGAACCTGAGCCATCATTTCTGATACAACCATCCTGAAACACTGAGATCTAACCAAATGGTCTTTTCTGCAGCAAAGCACAGGGAACATTTGTAGCCTTAATGCCTGTGTGTGTATGGGGGGAAAATTGTGTTCCCCTGCTGTGTGTGAGACCAAGCACCAGTAGACCTTGACATAAAAAACTTCTTTTCCACCATCCTTCCTTTTCCTGAGCTCTCACTTCTTCCCTGTTTGGCTCTTGTTCCGCCTCTTTCTTTCTCATCCTCTACCTCCACTGGTCTTTCTAAGTGGTCTCAAAGGAATGCTCTCTGGTCCAATAACCCAGGAGGCCTGCATCTCACAAAGATGAGCTTAGAAAAGGAGGAGAGCGAGAAAGGAGATATAGGAATGAAAAAGAAAGAGGCAAAACGAGGCAGTTTTAGAGAAGAACGAAGTAAGTGTGGGAATTAAGATGCACGAAGAAGAACTCATAGTCTAATATGAGGGGTGAGCCTCAAACACAACAGGTGATAGATGGATGCATGGCTTCATAAAGTTTTTGCAAATGCACTCAGAGGAGCATTTATTTTGCCATGCCATCACTTTACTGCTGCTTAATTGCGAAGCAAAAACAGATGCCAGGGTAACCATGCAGAAAATGAACTTCTCCCCTGTCATCATGTGAGTCTGTGCTGGCCTGTATGGCACAATGAGCAGCACAGTGACAGCTTTCAATCCTGGCATTTGCACCGCTGCCTACATCAATTACAGCAAAAAAACTAAGTTTCAGCTTCATGTGACAGGAAGATGTCCCCCTTTCTATCCTTCTCAGGAAAAAGCTGACATAGACGTCCACTTTCCTTATCTAAAACCGTAAAACATTCATCATGTGGCCAGAAGTTCTCACCCTTCTATATTCAACTCTTCCTCCAGCCAAACTTTTCCTCATTTTGTTCATGTCCAACGTGAGGACAGTCAGCCTCAACATTATCCATTCCACACAAGCTTTGGGGGGATTGGGGGGGATTGCACAAAAAGACACTTTGATGATTAGTTCACTGTATATCTTAACAGCAGCAAGCATAATTTGCATTTTAAAAAGTGGTGATATCCCCCTAATGAGGCAAGCTGCTAATTAGTCATTAGATATTCTTTTTCAATCCCCCATCATCAGCTCATTGAGGGTGAAGCTCATGTAAACATGTAGCCGTCAGCTGTTCGATATGTTTGACTGTACTCAGGATGGAGAAGATTAGGTAAAGCTCCTGGAGGGAGCCAAATGTCTCTTTATGTGTACATGTGTATATATATATATATATATATATATATATATATATATATATATATATATATATATATATATATA